TTCAATTGAAAATTTTTGTCACATTTCAAAACAAATGAAAACAAACAAAAAAAGACCAAAGTGCTCCTCCAACAGCAGGTCCAATGTCTACTCTGATTATCAACTTGCCAATAACAAATGACTAATGACTCTCCAAGTGAGGAAATCAAGTTGAAATTCAATCGTCAGTGTAGAGTGTCACAGCCTTATCTATGCTTTGACATTTAACCATACCTTTATGTTGATTTCTCAGGGACAGCAGTAATTTACCCCCCCAAAATTTAAATAAACATTATTTATATTTCATTATTAACTCAATTACTAACTGTTTCAATCAATATTTAGTGCAGTGGTGTTATGTACTTCTCACTGATCATGATTAATTGAGGATATATGACGTGTTTTCCATAAAACAACCCATTCCTATGTCTCCTTCTTGGTCTGTATGCTTGTTGGTCTGCCCTAACCTTCAGTCTGAGTGTTGTCTAACCATGATAGCAATCACCTTGTCAGCATGTAAGGTACTCTGTTTTTCTTCACTCATCTTCCCCTTTGTTAACGATGTCCCAGTGGAGGTTATGAGAGAGTTTTTGTGTGGCTAAAAAGGAGGAATTAGTTTCTGGAAATGCTGGAAACCTGCATCTGTGGGAGGTGATTCCAAGAGTGTTTCAGTGTATTTTTAGTGTATTTTAGCGTACAGAGTATTTTACAATGTTAAGAGGTAGCTAGTTAACTATGACAAGGAATTGTTTTTGATGAAGGTCATGAGAAAAAACCTTGTAACTAATGATAATGGTGAATGTTTGAAGACAAACAGCTGAGTTAATTCCTGGTGACCAGGGGCCTGTTCTTCGTACCGCGCTAAGTAGGTTAGCTGGATTAGATTGTTGACGATTTTGCGTGATCCTGGATCGTTCGGTTCCCCGAAGCTCATCCGGGACTTGCTGTCATAGCAACAGAGCCGTAAGCGTAAACCTGCTGGGGAGCAGGCTTACTTTATGTAAACAGGATTAGATCGCGGCCACGCAGGTATGTCCGCTTCATTTATACGAAAGCAACAGCGATATTCCACCACTGTTTCACCATAAATAAATAACATCAATGTAACTAAAGATAATGCAGCACTTGATCCTTTTATTGATGTCACACAGATACATACAGGTCATTTCCTAAAAAAGGGAAATGTACTATTAACATTCTATTACATGTATGTGATTATTACAGATGTAATTCATATTTCAGAGTAGTAATTGTAAATTACTTCGTGTAATCAAGATGAGAGACCATGGCTATAAAAGCGAAGGTGGATTTGGGAAGTCTGTCGCAGCCATGTCCTGTCCGTATACGCGAGCCACCCATTGTGGAAGGTGCAAGATTGATAAGGAGAGTTTTCAGAATTCAGCGTATATTGCGGGATAGACAGGATCCTTTAGCTCAGCGCGACAGTGTGCTCATTGAGAGATATCGATATTCCCGTGAGGGTATTATTTACATAACCAACTTGTTGACGAGGGGGTGCAGGACCACCACCTGTCTTTTGTTGCTCTGCCCTTTTCTTGGTTGCTGTTATGAACTAACAGAGTATTACAGGCCAGTATTACCTTGCCAAGAGACGAAAAGCAATCTAAGAGATAAATATTACCATTCTGTAGAATACTCCTGTATTCCACTTTTACTTGTTCCCATGTTCTTGTGGGTCCTGTTGTGGCTCTAATGTGAAAGGGGATATAATATAACATATTATAATATAATATAATGCCATATGATATTGGACAATATAGTGTCATATGATAGATCTACCCTACCGCCTACTGGTGTTGGCCAGAGGGGCCGATGGCGCGATATGGCAGCCTGGCTACAACCGTAGCTGCCTCCAGCAGTGTGTGAATGTGGGAGTGAATGAATAGTGGTATCGTACAGCGCTTTGGGTGCCTTGGAAAGCGCTATATGAACCCAATCCATTATTATTAGTATTATTATTAAATTACCTACGAGTTTGATTTGTCAGCAACTTTCTGCCAGCCCTCTCTCCTTGCTTCTGCAGCCTTTGCAGTTTTCTCTTGCGTTTTAATTAAACTCTGAAACTCCTGAAATCCCTCACTCATGAGTTCTTGCTCTGCTGCCGGAAAATACCGAGCGCGCCCCTTCGACATTTTCGCCGACCAATCAGCGGGTTGCCGATCAATGTTTCTACTATCGATGCGTAGCCCCTTTTACGACACCCAGTGATGTCACATTACTGCGTCCAGCTGTACTAATCGTCAACAGCAGGCGTGTTCGGGGAACCGGATTAGCGAGCTCACGGTTAGCGCGATGGTTTGGTCTTGGATGTGTCATTTGATCTTGGATGTAGTAAGCGACGTACGAAGAACAGGCCCCAGGCCTGGTACTTCACTGAAGACATTAAGCAAGTCATCCTAGAGTCTGCAACGTCTTCTGGCCTAATTTCTGCGTCTTGCCTGGAATTTGGGCAAAAAACCCCTGAATAATAAATTTTAACAGTGATAATAGTATAACTAACGTAATTCTTTTTTTGCTTATATTTTTTTGTCAGTCAGTTGGTTAAACTGAATTGTTTTCATCACTGTTATAAATAAAAATGCCCAGATTCTTAAAATGTTGTGTTTCAGAGACAAGAATTTGTTGCCATGGAAATATGTTCTTTAACTGTTACCCTACTAGTGTTTTTGTCAATAATTTTTAATAACAATAAAATACATTTAAAAATTGAGCTCTACTCTTACTTGTTGTATATCGGTAAAGAGACTTACTCGATTTGAAATATTATTAAAAATGTGTATAAATCATTAATTTTCATGAACTTTTGTTCATTTAATGTGTTTCTAAATTTGTGTAAATCTAAAAAAAATCTTTTAAAAAATTGTTTGTGGGATGAACTGGATGCTTTAGCTTTACCTTCCCCCACTGATGATGTGTTGTTGCACTTGTAATGCTGCTGGTGTATGTGCTTGGCTTTGGGAGTCAATGATGCGAAGCTACAATCTGCAGGATTATGACTGAATGCTTCTAAGTCAGAATCCTGGGTAGACGCAGTGATACCGCAGCGCTGTGGATCTTCGGTTGGTCTTGTATCGTCGGCCGGCCGATAAAGGAGAACCATTTGTGACTGGGCTGGGGGATGGCCAAATGATGGTCGCCCCTCTCCAATCGCACACTGATGTTTGTGGAGAATCTGGTGCTAAATTACTTGTAAATGACCTTTTGTAAGTTTTTGTATGCTATGCCTTTTAATAATATTGCTAAATGATGATCCTCTAAATTTGTGACACGCCATTTCCTCTCCAGATTACGAGTCATCTGCTTTAGGGTACGTGTTTGAGAATTATATCACGGAGTCAGGTACTTCTGATTTGAGACCTTAGTTTTCACCGGAGCTACAGTATCCAGAGTCGTACGTAGTGAGGAGGTAAAATTATTAACAAGATAATCGACCTCTGTTGGCGCAGCTTTCAGATAGCTGCTCTGCTCTATGTTGGTACAGGGCATTGAAGATGATAACAGTGGGTGGATTATATTCTTAAACTTAGTTACAGCGCTTTCAGAAAGACATCTACTGTGATAAACGTCTACTCTCCACTGCTGGGGAGCTAAGCTGGTGAATCCCTAAAGACACAGTCAGTGAATACAGTGACTATATTTAACAGAGAGTGTGCTTTGCATAAAGCAAGTGAACATTACACTCTGAAATAAGACATTATATATAAAGTTCTTAATTAGATTGGCTACTCAGATAAGTGCCACAAAAAAACCCCACTGTATTTTAACAGGAACAGGAAGTGATACTCTGCCACAGAGAGAGCCACCATCAAGTGAGCGCACCACCCACAGCCAGGAGGACAAATGCTTCTTCGAATGCTGGATCTCTCATTGTCTTCGTCTTTCTTATCCTTGGGAGGAGTTCAGTCCTGATTCAGACAACTTATTAGAAAAGAGCTGGTCCAGAAACTTTTGGATGAACTTACCTTGTTTTATATTTTCATTCATGGTTTTTTTCCTATTTCTCTTTTCTTACTTTCTTGTTGTTACAAAAAAATAAATAAATCACTAAATTGTAAAACCTGGTCTGTTCATACTTCTCAGTTTGCTCTCCCTGTATCATATGTGTGCATCAGATCTGTATCACATAAGTGTGCATGAGGGGATGTGGCAGTGGGATGGTGTTGTTTCCTTTTTTAGATCTTTTGGTTTGTCTTCCATGTAATAACTACTGTCCTAATTGGGAAGAATGAGAACAGAGCAAAAAAATTTAAATAGTAATAGTAGTAGTATTAATAATTATACAAAGTGAGTTGCACATACTGATAATATTGGGGTGTTGGTGTTCTTGTTGTTGTTTAGCAGACAAATGATTGTATCAAACAAAAGGGGCAAAGAAAAGAAACCCTCATAAACACTAATATTGCTGTCAACCCCCCCAAGTACACAAACGTACAACACACTGACCACAAAGAATTCCTTTTCTGGAAACGTTGAATCTCTAGAAAACCTGGAAGCATGAAATCACCTCCCTTGTTGGACCTTGTACATAAGAGACTCTTGAACTGTGAATAACTAGAAGATTTTATAAATAGCACAACTCACCTTCACTGTAAATAAAATCACTTTACTTGCACAACTGAGTTTCTACGTCTGAATCTGGTCGACACGTGACAATATTTTTGTAACACTGATTTAGAAAAGAAAGTATTTAATAGATGCGAGCTTGTCTCTCAATTATCAAATCGATTACTCTGGAGAAAATACGAAGTCTCCAGAGACATTATGGCACAAAGTAACCACAGACTGGCTGTCGATTCAGCCAGGATCACGACATCTGTCCTTCCAGACTAATTTGAATGAATTAGAGAATTTCGTGATTCTCTGTACCGATTTGGGCATGACGAGCTCGAACGCTGACTTGACGCGTGTCACAGAAGTTCCTGCCAATCTAGTGTGTTTCAAATTTGAAGATTTTGAATTGTGTCACGTTTCGTAGATCGGACTCACGCGCAGACCACTAGTGTCTTCAAAAGGTGCATTTATTTACAGTGTTTCCTACAGTGGAATTCATATATACACATAATAGTGTCAAAGGAAAAAGGGGCCGGGGTTCCAGGGTCCAGGAGTGAAAGAGGCAGGAGTCCAGGAAGGGAAAGTTTCCATTCAGTCCTAGCACATCTCCTCTCCTTTATCTCTCTTGCTCCCGTTCAGTCGCCAGGCACAGGGGAAGAACAAGTCCAGAGGCAATCTATGCACAGGCAGAAAAAACCCCATTAGTCTCCTGGTTCAGACATGCTCATAAACTGACTTTACAAAATACAGGACGACTGACGCTGATGACTCAACGATCCAGCGACGAGTAGAGCAGACTCGCCCTCTTAAGAAGGGTTCCAATCTTTCATGATCAGCGACAGATGTGCTGATCACCTCCAGGTGCGTAGGCCAGGGGCAGGAGCCCATACTGAGCTCCGCCCCGGCAGGAGAAAGAGAGAATGGAAGAGGGCGAGAGAGAAAGGGAGAGCAGAGGTGAGAGAGAAAGGTAAACAAAAACAAAACACCTGACGGCTGTCAGCTGACGAGGGGCGGAGACCATGACAAATTGTAAATGTACAAATGTTAAATATACATTTTAAAAATTATCTTATTGACAAAATTATTATTTTAAATTAATAAGTAAAAAAAGGAACTCTAAACTCTATGTACCTCTAAATGTGATTACTTTTTTCTTTGTCTTTCTTTTTTCTCCAAGTATAAAAATCAGTTGCAATTCAGTCATCGCTGAAGAGTCTGCACAAAGTGAGTCTTTTAACTCATATGTTTCACTTTTTCTTTTTTTTCCCTTTTCTTCCCCAGCACAAACAAAGATAGAAATGTGTTCTGAAAACTTCCCTGAAAACTTCAGGTTCTCTCGACAGCTGCTTTTAAATATGACCTGTAACATTTTGTGATTTGACAAAATGTGTCAAATTACACATTTTGTCAATCATGACAACTTGAAACAAGTTCCAAAGTTCTCCTCCAACAATTGTCTACTCTGCACTCTCTATAGCTACTGTTATCACTAGCCTGCCAATAACTGATAACTTGGATTGGCAATAGTTAAACATGTGACAGTGGACCTCTTTCAGGTTTCGATGTAGTGCTCCTGGAGTGTACCCAAACAACACGTTTTTTACGCTGCATGAAATGAGCACACTACACACTGTGTGCACACTGCATAAAAGCCCAAAAGGAGCCACAGAGTAAAGCAGACTTGCTCTCCCTTACTGGTCAGAGGCATACTAAGTGGTAAGTTGACAAATAAACTGAGTGGTTATTTTACTGTTTATCTGTTATTGAGTTGTATAAACTGAAAAAGGGGCTATTGATATGGTAAGGGGTGCCTGAGCACCACATGTCAGTGGAGGTTAAGATCAACACAAGGTTTATGTAAAGTTTGTATTGTTTGGATAGATTTTCTTTTAACATTGCATGCTACAGTAATTACAAGCTTTATAACTTATAAGATTTTTTGTTACAATTTAATGTAATAAATATTTTATTTTCACTCCATTTTGTGTTCTGTAATCTTGTGATAATCAAAACTAAAAGGAATCCTAATGATAAATGAATCTGATGGGTTTTTCAGACAGGACAGAGTTAGACTGAAAGGTGACAACTGATGATGTTAGCTTATGACATAATGCACTAGCATGAAGTTAAGTTTGGTTAGAAATGTACTACTCACGTAAAAGTTTAAACATTAAATATTCAAAATGAAAATGCCAGTGCTGCTTGTTTCTGTACACTTTTAATGTTACAGAGGCAGGAACTTCACTGATCTGCATGTGGAAAATCTGCTTATAAAATTATTACATTCAGAGGTTTCAGGTTAAATTACAATACAAATGACTATGTACCATGTGCTACCAGGCACGTTTTAAACAGACATTACAAGACACTCGTGGTTAGGGATGGGTACCGGTAGTAACATAAACGGTAGTAACCAGACCGAAAAGCAGCGCACGTTTCGGTGCTTTATTTCGGTGCTTTTTTTTCCTGAGCTGTGATACACTTCTAGCCAATCATTTTAGTTTCCGAGAATAGTTAGCGGGGCCAGGTACGTACGTTCTTTTAGAGCAGAGCTACAGATTAAAAATGCCCAAGGTGAAGCGGTCAAAAGTCTGGCTGTACTTCACAGCAAAAGATGCAAACTCAGCAGCAACAAGTGCTTTAAGCTGATACTGTGATACTGTCAAAGGAGGTAACACATCAAATCCGATGAAACACCTGGCGACGCATAGCGTTTTTTTTAAAAGCCCAGAAATGCGCCGTATTTGATAGCTTGCTGCGAGACCTCACACCGAGAACATCTACTGCGGGTGTGGTGCCTGTTATCAGACCCGGAGTTAGCAACATCCCCCAAAAACCCGAAGAGGAGAGTCCTGGCCCCTAGCCCTGCCAGTGTAGCAGAAATGATGAGGATGATGATGCAGCAGCAGCCGTTCTTCTCTGCGTGAGTAGCTCAATGTTGTTCGTGTGTAATTTACGTTGAGTAGGCTAACCACGTTATTACATTAATGCAGGTAAGGTGAACTAGCAAACATCATCATAGCTACATGCGGCTGTCTTCTTGTTTGATGGCAGATACTCCCTTCACCCTGGCCAAAAAGGCTAAAATGACCAAAGAAAAAGTGGAAAACAGTTAAACATGAGAGGTTTTTGGACAAAGTTTGTGTTTTTTCCATTGTTTAAGCTTCCAGCCAAGAGTGATACCATATATGCCCCATAGCTGCAGAAAAGGCTAACATTGTTATCTTTTTACAAAAAAACAGCTGAACATGAGGTTTTTGGACCAATTTTGTGTTCTCCATTCTTTAAGCACCGGTTTGAGCACCGGCACCGTTTCAAAAGTACCGATTTGGCACCGGTATCGGATAAAACCTAAACGATACCCATCCCTACTCGTGGTTATAAGTGGATACTTTAGTTCTATTGCAGCATATTCATGTTTACACATTTCTTTCTTTTCCACATATAAATACACACACACACACACACACACACACACACACACACACACACACACACACACACACCTCATGCCTATGGTACGACAACTTTTCTCCATACCCCTGGTACACTGCGTGGAAGCACTTTGCCACCCACACACACACACGCACACACACAGACACACACACACACACACACACACACACACACACGCACACACATGCACACACACACACATGCACACACACACACACACACACACACACACGCACACACGCGCACACACCCACACACACACATGCACACACACGCACATGCACACACACACACACACACACACACACACACACGCACACACACGCACACACGCGCACACACCCACACACACACATGCACACACACACACACGCACACACACACAACTATACATATGCAGATCAAAATAAGGATCTAATTGATAATAATGATACAATCAATAATAATAATCATCATCATCATAGTGTCACCAATAACAATAACATTAATGGGGACATGAAATGCTACACATATAAAGGCTAGTGACAGAATCGATAACTCAGAGGAAAATAAGGACATTAAAAGTAAAAATCAGTCTAAGGGGATCACTTACATGCTGCTCCTGGCTGAAACAATAAGTTTTATGTTAAGAAAGAAACGATAGACTGTCCACTTTTTCTTTCATGTCTCTTTAGTAGTGATGTGCGGATCGATATTGAAATATCGATTCTTCCGATACTAGTAATTTATGTTCTAGAATCGATTCTCATATTAAAATATCGATATTTTAGTACTTTGGGGTAAATTTGTAGTTTTTCATTTACAGGAACGCAGTGGAAAGAAACTATAACATTCGGATCATCTAAATTGGAAGGAACTACTTCCTCTTCCGCCATTCATAGTCGTGTGCGAAATACGGCTGTATAATTGTGTCGCAGCCCCTGCTGGCATGTGCACTCACAACAATGGCTGAGCGTAAACGGAGTCACATACGTCGAAATCAGTGGTATCACACATCACTACTCTTTAGCAGTAAGTAGTTTGGCTAGCTGCACTCAAACAGGAAAATCCAGCTGTTAATAGTAATGTTTGTTTGGAGAGCACTTTAAAAATAAGAACAGTGTGGACGAGAGCCTGTTTGAGTCAGGTGACCGGTGGTTCACTGGACAGAAAATGATTTTTCCTCCTTTGGCCGAGGAGCTGCACAATTAGCCAATGCAATCAGTCTAATCTGACTCCTGCAAATCGGTGCCTGCTACACGGACTGCCTTGACAGAAAGACATGACCACCATCGACCCAGCAGACTCTAGTTTGTTTGAGAGGATTTGAGTAGGATGCCTAAGGTCTGTCAGTCTCCCGGCTTGGAGAGCTCATTGTACATTGGACTTAACAGCATATCTACTTTAATAGAGGAACTCTTTTATTACTCCAGTTTCCTGAGACCTCTGTTTTGATCAGCACTGATGTTAAAGAGGAACTACAAGCCAGGGACCTGGCTCTCTCCTTTGCCTCCTTTGAAGTCAGCAAGAGTCTGCTCCTGAAGTTTGTGTTTCTATGCTGGCCGCTGTATTTTTTGTTAATGAGCCACTTTACAAGAATGTGTCTTTGATTCCTCGTTGGTGCGTCCCATTCAGAGACTGTAACTCTGCCCTCGGCCTCACCAGAGACTGGGCTGGGCTCAAACTTCTGTCCAACTAGATCTCTATGTTGGGTCTAGCACATGGTGCTAATTATCATTGCAATAAAACTGTTTTAAAAAAAAACGTCTTTTTGAGTAAATAGAGATGACACAGCCTTTACCAACCAGTAGCTCTGGTAATACCTGATATTGCATTTTTTCTGATAGGCCACACCTGCTCCAGCCTCACCTTCAACTTGTCATCACAGCCAAGTACATATGCCATTCAAGGACCCCAGGAAGCAATATCACAACTGAGCTGGTTTTATCGTCACAGCCAGGTAACAATAGTGTTATTTTTTCTATAATGTCAGATTTTTTTTTAAAGATCCTAAGTACAAAAATGGTAGCTCCCAAAACCGCTGTAAAAATAATATATAGTAACATTTTTTTTCTTCACTTTAACCAACTCGGTCTTTTAAAACTACTTCAATCTGAAACACAAATAAGAGTCTGACTCAGGTGGAGCAGAGGCTGCAGCACCCTGCAGATTTAAATTGACTATGAGCATTGCTACATAAAACTGCAGTTCCACATAAGCCACTGCATACAGGTTTGTCATGGCCACAGTTGCTGTAGGATTTCATCCATGGGCAGCAGTGCACAGTTGTTGGCATGGTGTGTAGGTCCCAGAATCAAACCTCTGGCTGGTGGGACATAGGAGAGCGTTGCAGTCTTTGTAGGAGACCAAAATATGGAGATGGAGAAGTCCATCCTGTAACTGCTTCAACCAGCTCCTCCCCACTCTCAGCTTCAGATGAGTTCGACTCCAGCTGGTCTGTTTCTACCTCTGAGGCCTCCTCTGTGTGTCTTCACACTCAGCCTCCTGTGTGCTGTAAAGTCTTGCCATCTCCATAGTGAC